TAATCATAGTAAGTTGAATACCAGCTTTTAAAATATATTGTATCTATACAAAAGACAAATGAGAGAAAAATTAAAAATAAATACATTCACTGAGACCCCTAGCTGTTTTCTGTTCATCTGAGTTGTTGGAATGTTTTGTTTTTCCTACAGACTAGTAAAGCTGTTGGATTTTGCTCTGGAAAATGGAACCAGGAAAGGCAGCATTTATTCTTTTTCTCTCTGAGAAATATTGCAGAGTATCATGTTCCATGAAGAGTGTAATTACTTCCACAATAACAGAAGACAGAGCAGTCCCCAGTGTTGCATTTGCATTGCACCCTGTGGGTGAGGCCATCATTAAGAGCTTTGTTCTCAGTGTCACTAGATACAGGCACCACTATGCATGTCACAGCTGCCAGCTCCAGTGTGTTCAGAGAGTCAGACTCCCCCAAACACCCTGAAACAACCTTTCTTGGAGGAGGCCACCCATTGTAGAATTTTCATCGTGCCCTTCTCTTTCTCAGCCAAAGGCCTGAGAAAGGAGTCCCTAAAACCCAGAATTACAGGGCTCTTCTTGAAAGGCATGCCAAGTGCTGGCAAATATCTCCTCCCACACACACCTGCCAAGGCTGCCTACGGACTGGCTGAGATGAGATTGGCTCCTACTTTATCTGTGCGTGTTCTCCGTCTTCCTCCACACATGGTCAGGCCTCATGTTCTCTTTGCAATGATCAGAGGGAAGCATGACTATAGTAGTTTTGACCTAAGCAAATGAAGAATAGAATTGACGTAACTTAGAGGGGGAAGAGTGTCTGAGAAGCATGTTTCAGGAGGAAGGGGAGGCAGGGTGGTAAAGCAGAGTTCGTATTATGTTGGAAACATCTATTATGCATCCACATGTAGATGCCAAATAAATAGTTGAATACAAGACTCTAAAGTTCCTGGGAAAGGCCAAGACTGGATATATAGATGTGATAGTTGTCAGCATATAGATGGTGTTTGAGCCATGAGAACAGATGCAATGACCAAGGGAGTTAGAATAGATGGAAAAGGGAAAAACAAGGAACTGAACTCTGTGACAATTGAGCAATAATAAGATGTAGGTGAGAAGAGGATGGATAAACAATTAGCATGTTTTTATTAAATTAATTTGCTTCTCTACATTAAATATTTCCAGGTTCTCAAAATCACTTTCATGGGACATGTTTGCCCAATCTCAGTACCATGTTTCACTTCCCTCGTGAGAAGTAAATGAACTTAGCATGCCAAATAAAATAGAGCATCATGGCATGAACTATACAGAGAAAAGAGAGACCCATATGTCCCACAATTTGAACCCCAGACTTTATTATTGCAGGCCATGTACCATTAGTTTCTATAGAAAGCAAGCCGCTTAAAATCACTAACTCTTTTTATCCTTGAATCATTGTAGGTTCATTTCTCAAAAGTACACTTACTAGATTGAATTCTTAAACCTAAATGCACTAACTTAATTTTTTTCCTATAGACTTCATATTATTGGATGTAGCTCATAAGTAGTCAAGCTACATTTTTTAATCCAGGACTAAATGCTCATTGCATTAAATTTATTAGCTTTGTGCTACCACATACTTGAAAAGCATGCCTTTTGAGTCCACCCATTTCCCTTTCTCTAGACGAGCCCTTCTCTGCAGAATTCTAGATGCAGCCAGACATGTCTGAGATCAAGTGAGAACCCTGCTGAAGCTAAAGGTGGAGTTCCTGGTATACTCAAAAATATTTCCTAATTTATTTGTTTAGACAACATGGGATATTTACTTTCTCAAAGACATGCATGCAAGTCTATGTATGTAATCCTATTGTACACCAACGTAAGGAAGGGGCAGGTGTGTGTGCGTGCGTGTGTGTGTGTGTGTGTGTGTGTATGTGTGTGTGTGTTTAGAGTCTTGTCTATCATTATTAAGGATGAAAAAGCTGGATTTTAAAATATTGTTAGTTGTCTGGATTTTGCATTTCAAATGTTGCATTATATCTTTATTCTTACCCTGCACTGGATTTTTAAATGCAAGAAATAACCTTGAGCCTTTAGCTGAGAGTGTCCCATTGCACACAGACAAAAGCTAAATCAGGATGTTTTAATCATGCTGAGATGTACTCTCAGAGTTCTCTAGAATCCGTGTGACTCCATTGACAGTGACAAATGAAAGTAGTCTCCACTCTCTACCAGACTGCTCTGTCCTAACTGGGGTACATTTAGTACTAAGTCAGGAAGCAAGTAAAGTGTTCCTGTGTTTCCATATTAGCACATTTTGGGTGTTCTGTTGTTGCCTTTTTTTTTTTTTTTTTTTTTTTTTTTTTTTTTTTTTTTTTTTTTTTTTTTTTTTTTTTTTTTTTTTTTTTAAATATATTTTATTGATTTTGTACAGAGAGGAAGGGAGAGAGATAGAGAGTTAGAAACATCGATGAGAGAGAGTCATCGATCAGCTGCCTCTTGCACACCCCCTACTGGGAATATGCCCGCAACCAAGGTACATGCCCTTGACCGGAATCGAACCCGGGACCTTTCAGTCTCCAAGCCGACGCTCTATCCATTGAGCCAAACCGGTTTCGGCTTGTTATTTTACTTTTAAGTTACAAATAATAGCAAAGAAAAAGAAAAAGAAGCACATAACTGCACAAATTCTCCTTTGCTATTTCCCTCCCGTAAAATGGAGTTTCATGTTAATATTAAAGAAAAATGGACACTGGTGCTCAAAGGGAGTTTCAGGTTATTAGAGAAAATTGTTTCATGGAAGAAAACTGATATCCAAATGGTATTTATGCCATATTCTGAAATGATTGTGACATTTGAGAAAAGCAGTTAAATGTGACCTTCACCAGGAATCATAAGATTATATCATTTTCAAGAGAAATAAAAGGGCATTAACTATAGCAAGGCTTCTTTTGAACTACATTTTCAAATTTTATCTACTGACTAGCATCTCAAGGTATGGGACAGTTGAACTTTGTACCATGAAATGTACAAAGTTCTGTCCAGGACAGAGTTGTCATAGTGATTCTTTTATAGACACTAAAATGATAGCATCCAGCATTTCAAAGAAATGAGACGCCATTTACCTAATAAATAGCAGATTATACGTGAATGAGGATGCACCAATCCTTTTTTCTCCTACAGTATGAGACAAAAACCAAATATGTCTCCTAACTATATCCTCCTGGTATTTCAGGGGCTAAATGTTCAAGAACAAACTAGAAGCAAGTAACTCAATGAGGAGGTGATATTATCATAGTTCCCAATATTGCTTGCAAGAAAAGCTTGATTTCTTCAAAATTACTTTAGCAACTGAAGTGATTAGTCATCTTGTGACAACATGGAGTGCTCAGCACTTTATTCCAGAAACTGTTAATAACCTATGGGCATCCGCTGGGAATAAAAACAGAAGGAGCCATGTGAGAAACATGCCAACACAGAAATATGTTTAATGTCCAGCTGTGTCATATTTTAAACCTGGGTTCAGATCATAATGTTCTAGCTAATTACTTCTATCAATAGTATTCTCTATCCCAAAGAGTTCTTTTTTTGAACAAGGACCATTTGCTCCTTAACCCATTGAGCATGTTAAGGATGTCTAAGTCTCTGCATATCTAGGGGTCTCCAGAGACCATAGTCTCATAGAGAAGCAATTTCTTTCCCATCTTGGTCTGATTTCATTGTCTTGTCTCCTTGCCATGAGAGCCAGATTCGGAGCAGGTAAGTTTCCCAAGCCAGAGTAGCAAAAAGGCTACCAGAGAGGATGAAATCACATGACCTGGAGACAAGCAACCCTGTGGGCAAGGCTCCAACCTCTGGGTATCAAACTCTTAAGTTGCAAAGGATAGAAAACCCCATTCAAACTACATAAGCAAATGAGAAATGTAGATTCTCATAATAATAATAATTTAAAAAAAAACACCAGAAATGGCTCCATTCAGTCAACATCATGCACAGGAACGGTGTCTGGCTTTATGTTGCCCATGCCTTGCTCTGTGTTACTCCCTATCAGAGAGGCTTTGTTCATGTTGGCAGGACACCTGCCAACAGCTCCAAGCTTGCATCTTCCCAGGTCTAAACCCATGGTCAAAGGAATGGCTCAATGAGTAGAGCAGAAGTCCCGGAGTTAGTTCTGACTGGAAAAAACTCACCTTGACATAGATCCTGTGTTAAGCCAGTCCCTACAGAAAGATAAAGTGATGCCCAGATCACTCATTCCTAGATAACTTGCTATACCTGGAGCCAGAACGGCATAGTTCTGCAGGAAGCACACAGACCAGGCTTGGGTGAGGGATGGTGTCCCAGGGTAAAGTCACAGCACTTCACCATGACCAGAAAAAGAGAGCATAGACTAGTGCAGGCAGGAGCAATAACTGTCCACTAAGCATTATTCCACTGGTTTCTTTTACAGTTCTAGCTATGCATAATCCATTGAGCTTTATACATAAATATGCAAACATACATGGGCTTCATCTCTCAAAAATTCTGCAACATTAGATCCAGGGTGGGAAATGGATACTTGTATTTTGAAAAAGCTCTGTAGATGATTCAATAATCTACTAAGTCTGAATCAATAAATGGTCTCAATTAGTTCATTTTTAAGTGAATGTGATACAATAATTTAGCAATTCTTAAACTTCCCAGCTGTGAGCCACTTAAACAGTGCCGAGGACACTATAGCCCATCTCCCAACTCACCCACTCATACTTCAAAGGCACTAAACACACCTCCCTCATCAATTTATTTCAATAGGGTACCACTCAAGTAAACCTTCTTTTTAAAACATTCTAAACAGGACTCTAAGCTCTGCCCTACTTAAAGTAATGTGCTTGTCAAGGCTTATAGTGTACCTCAGAACGTTTTTGAAATGTTTGGTTAATGAAAAAATTCAGCTTAAGAGAAATATTAAAATCTAATAATATGTCAAATTCAACAAACAGCCACTTTTCCCATGTTACACATAGATCTTGGCATCACATGAAGCTACATTACCTTTAAAATAAATAACACCCCTGAGACTAGAGCCACATCTTGACAGCTATTGTCCTGGTGTGCTAGAGTTCTCGGAGAGAATCTGCTGGTCTTGATTCACTGACGAGGGCCACAAATGCCCCAGTTGTGCCCAGATCAGAAATATAGGCAAAAAAATAAATAAATAACATCATACATCCTCCTCTGACAAGTTTCCTTTCCTTCTCACTAATTTGTTTGACCATTCTTTGTCCTCATGAGCCTCAAGTTCATTGACAATTCTATCCTATCCATGTCCAATGGCCTCTACTTGTCATTATGTCCTTCCTTACCCAAATTAGATTTTAGAGTCAACAAGTTCAATAATGATGCTTGATACCTCTCTGTCTTCTCTTGGTACTTGCCAGCCCAAGTCCTGGACTTCCTCCAAGCTTGCACTCAGGCAGCTGAGCTTTGCTGGAGACAGATCCCAACATGCAATATTTATCATGTCCCCACTCTGCTCAGAACCCTCCAGTGGCTTCTCATATCATTCTGAGTAAAAGCCAAATCCTTTTTGTGCTCTAGAACACTCTATAATTTGCCCTAATGTTTCCATTTTAGCCTTATCTTTTCTTCATGTGACCCCAGCCACTCTGATACACTCTGACCTCATTGTTGATCCTTCTTCCTGCCTCAGGACACTTGGATTTACATTTATCAGGTATTTCCTTACCTGAAACACTCTTTCTAGACATCTAAAAGTCTCTGCTCAAATGTCTCTTTCCCTGACTACCCTGTGTAACAGATATTCTTTTATAACTGTCCATGATGTTTCTGTACAGCACATATCACCACTTAACATAATATAGATGATATTTATTTATATGATGTTTTCTTATCTTCTTCTATAGGAATGTAGACTCTATAATGATATATATTATAATTTGCTTTGTTTGCTCTGATAGCCTAGAACCATGGTCGGCAAACTGCAATGAACTTAGGGCTACATATATTCTTTTGAGTCATTGTTTCAAAGAAGTCTATCCCGTATTAAAACACAAAATTCTCTTTTTAGCCACCAAACCTGCTAGAGTAAGCATGTCAAACTCAAAGGCTAACACAGGCTAAATAAACGAGGCATGTGGCCCACATGGGCCACGAGTTTGACAAGCTTACTCCAGTCTCTTTCTCATCTCCCATTCATTGCCATACTTTTAAAATTTCCTTCCTTCATGTCTCTTGCCTCACTTCTCACACTCCTAGGGCCACTCTAATCTGAATGCAGTGTATACCCACCCTCTCACCAGAATGGCTCTAGCTCAGGTCACCCTTGGCCTACTTCAACACTGCTAAAAGGCTTGGGCATTTTCAGTCTTCATCTCAGGTGAATTGCCTGCAGGATTTTGCACTGTTAACAACTCTTTTAAAAATCCCAACTGTCTTCTTTATACATTCTTAATATCCTTCCAACTTTCCTCTTACCTCTTTAGCCTAATTAATTTCTACTCTTCTATTATTCTGCAAATTCAGTTCTCAATTCAAAGTTGTGTTGTTTTTTAAAATATATTTTTATTGATTTTGAGAAAGAGAAAGGGAGAGAGATAGAGAGGTAGGAATATCAATAAGAGAGAAACATCATCCATTGGCTGCCTGCTACAGACACCCACATCGAAGAGTAAGCTCACAAGCTGGGCCTTTGCTCTTACCAGGAATTGAACCAGCAACTCTTGGCTCCTGGGTCTATGCTCAACCATTTAGCAACACCAGTTGGGCTCAAAGGTTATATTTTTTAGGGGAATGTACCCTGAGTGCCAGACTGAAAGGTTTTCCTGGTCTATGTTCTAATAGCTCTCTCTAGTTCCTTCCTGGCACTTGTCAAAGTAAATCATTATAAACTTACATAATTACACTATCAACACTGGCTTATTAAGGAAGACCTTCAGAGCATGAATATGCCTATACTTTACTGCATCATTAATTTGCTAATTGATATTTTGGTGGCCTACATTTTTTTTTGCTATTATTCTTTGAATTTTAGGCAGTGAAGATTCACTACTTCTGCACTGGGAAGAGAAAAACAATTATTTTAAAAATAACACTCGCTGATTGAACAAATACTTTTATTACTTGTTTTTCAGAAAATAAAAGTATAAACATTGCCATTGTCAAAGACCTCACAATTTTAAATAGCAGCTGATGCCTCATCACACCTCTAGAGGTTTCTGGTTTAATTGGTCTGGAACGAGATTTGGGCATTGAGACTTTTGAAAGCTCCCAGGTGACCCTGATGTGCAGTCATGTTTGAAAACCACTACAGAAGAGGATGCTTCTGAAATACTTATCAATACCCTTTTTACAAGTGGAGAACTGCAACAGGGAATGTACCTGTCAGTGTAAATACAGATCACGTGGCTCTCCAAAGCCAACACCATGTCAATGCACAGTTCTGTGTAGCATGAGGCAGAGTACCATGGACTCACAGGCTCGTGGTGATTAATAAATCTACAATAAGTGGGGGACCATTGGGTGAAATGACTCAGGGATAATTCCTTGTGCCTACTTATTTGGAATGTGACTTACATCTAAAAGGGACATTGCACAGACCCTCATCCCAGGCAGCAGCCTTGAGTCCATTTCATTAAAGAGGAGCCAGCTTCCCAATTGGTAAGTCAGTACAACAGACATGCTCATCCTTCAACAACTGCAAGACCCAGCTCTGGGCTCTGAGTGGCTGGGTTTCAATCCTGGCTTTGCCAAGGTGCTGGAAGCCAATTCCAGTGTGTCATAATTGCAAGTTTCATCAAATGGAACTTGGGGATTCTACAAGGGCTGAGCCACATATGTTATCACCTGTTGGGAATGACTGAAGACATTTCCCCAAACCTGAAGAGGATACATAAATTGATTGTTTACTGCCAGACAGCTTAGGGCATTTTAATCTACATGTTATTGCCTCCTAGCAGCCAAACACCTGAACAGCTGAAGGCAATTCTTCCAATCTGACAATGGATTCTATACCTAACCCTACCCTTTGATGTATATATTCCACCTTGCCTTAGGACAAATTCTGTTAATAAAAAGCAAGGGATCCTGAGACAAGGAGGACTTAGTTCCTTTAGCTAAGTCTTTCTCTGACTCCCCAATATGCCTTTCAAAATTATGTTTCATCTCTGGACTCTTTTTTTTTTTTTTAATATATTTTATTGATTTTTCACAGAGAGGAAGAGAGAGGGATAGAGAGTTAGAAACATCGATGAGAGAGAATCATCCATCAGCTGCCTCTTGCACACCCCTTACTGGGGATATGCCCGCAACCAAGGTACATGCCCTTGACCGGAATCGAACCCGGGACCTTTCAGTCCATAGGCCGATGCTCTATCCACTGAGCCAAACCGGTGCCAGCTCATCTTTGGACACTTGATTAATTTATTCACAGCCACTTCTCCATGTTTCCTGAACCCTTCTAGATGCCGGATCAAGACCGCCAGTGTTAACTTGAGAGGTTGTTAACTTGGTCAAGTCCTTTAAGGTTTTTCAGACTTTTTATTTTTTAATATTGGGAAATAATAGTAACTATTTCAAAGGCTTGGTTTGAAGATTAAGCAAATAGTGCATGTAAAGCATTGAGCATAGTGCCTAGCCCATAGTAAACACTGAATATACATCAGTTGTTACTTTCTCAAGTCAAAACTGGAAATTCTACATAGGAATGGAAAATGTTCATTTTGTCCATTTAAAGCTTATTTGTAAGTCAAAGAAAATCAAAACTGAAATTATACAATACCTATAAGGTAATGAAATTGAAAATAGAACAAAAGAATACTACTAAAACGATAGCCATATCCCTATAATCTTATACTAATGAAGAAAAAAGAATACAATTGGTGAAATAAGTATTCAACAACAAGAGAAATCTAAGTAAAGCAAAAGAGACTTAATAGAGATAGTAGCAAAATAAATGAATTAGGTAACAGAAAATTATAGTCCTAATTAATAAATTAAAGATCTACAATAGTTCTTTAAGCAATAAGGACAAAATAGATAAAATCTGAAGTCATCAAATGTCTTAAAAGGGCAAGAGGAGAAAGCACAGATGTAGGGTGTGGAGAGAGACTAACTTTAGATTGTTTACCTTTAATTTTTATATCCTGGGCATGGTTTGAACTAGTAGCATGAGATTCACATCTTGTTAAGTGTTACATTTACTTTTTTGCTCTTGTTCTTAATCTCCCATTAGTGGTTCTGGACAAGCATCTGTGGCTCCTGGAGCTCGTGAGTTCATAGAAAATCGCAGAATTGTTGGCACCTTGGGAACCAGTTGCCAAGGCATCCAATGAATTGTTAATTGCAGTATTTGTGCATCAAGTTACAGTTTAGAACAGTATGTTTGTTTTTTAGTGTCTGTTACTGAGGAAATCTCAGGGACACACTCTGGAAGCATAATGGAATCTCTAGAGAGGCTGATGTACCAAACGAGACCAGGGAAAATGTAATTGAAAGGAAAGGTATCTTCACTGTGGTGGCAAATTGCAATGGAACGGCTAACAGTTCAAATGGCAACAGGCTTAAAATATCAACACTTGTTAAACCGCTGGGACTGAGGCCAGGAAAGGAGAACACGTGTTTGCATTGAGAGTTACCGGTATAATAATGCTTCTTTGAAGTCACGAAATCTTCTCCATCCCCTTGAAAAACAAAGCCCTGTTATTGTGTGATAAACTAGCACCTCAAAGAAGTTCATAACTTGGCAATAGAAAGTGGGGGTATCTTTACAGCCTGCTGTGAAGATCGGTATTATGGCCATGAGGCTTTCGAACATATTATCGGCTGATCAATAGCTATCCTAGCCAGACTCACGTGCAAGCACAGTGAGTTCAGGGACCCTGGGCATTTTTATAAAAATATGTATTTGATTAAAATATTTAAATTTTTACACTTATGAGAATCAATTGAACTGTGAAATGCTTCTGAATTTGTATTAGTGATCTTTTTTTTGCACGTTTGACACTCTTATTAACAAACTTTCTTCTTTGGAAAATTGGAGAACATGCCTCCTCTGTGACTTCTCCCCTTCTTCACCCAGTCTGTCATACACACACACACACACACACACACACACACACACACACACAATTATAGCTGAGCCTCAGAGGGTGTGCTGGTAAACCATCTGACTAGGAGGGGAA